CTGAATTACTCATGTCTGCGTCGATGTTGCAGGTATGCGCCGCCGTACCGAGGACCAGCTCTGAAAAAGGCGCGGATACCTGATGCGTCCTGATATGACCTGATCTGACCTGAGAACGATGCCGGCGGCAGTGTTATAGTGGATGCGGACCTGAGTTGGTGTTGCATGACCTGAGAAGAGGGATCGACAATGTTGTCAGGACCTAGGAAGCATCGGGTCGAAAGGCGACGTACGTCCTTATCCAGGAATGCAGGTTGCGTTCAGGTCATCAAGGTTGTTTGTCTTTGCAGATCAATGCCGCGATTTCCCTTAGATAACACTTTCGGCGCGGACCTGGGTTGCAGCCTGGACCTGAGCGCCTGAGCAGCGTTGCGCGCTACGCCTTAGCTTTGCGCGACGAGAACCCAGGTGCAACAGGCGCCAGGCCACCAGGCGACGGGCGAGGGTCGGACCCTGTGCCATGAGAACCTCAGGCCTCAGGTCACTTCAACCCTTCCTGGCCTTCTGGGCGGAATTGATTTTCGTCTCCTGGTGTATCCTAGTCTTTCGGTCCTGGCCATCCTGTGCTTATGATTCTGCGTCCCTTCCCCTTCGTACTTTCGCGTCGGTCCCTTGCGCTAAGCTTCTGCAGATCTTCTCCTTGAGCTCGTGGAAGAGTGACTCACCCACAACTTTGGGTCAGAATCAGCAAGGTTCGGCAACCCTCCCAGCCCTCTGCGACAGGGCTTCGCCGCCTGCTGGGCTTGAGACACTCCTGATCAGGATCAACTAAGGCTGCTGCACGCTAGGCTCCGCCGTTACAGCATGCGAGATGTACGCAAACCTGAGTTCTGCATTTCGCCTCAGGATTAGATAACGGATAAGCCTCCTTGCAGAAGTGTATGCCGCACCGAAAAAGCAGTCGCGCCTCGGAACGACGAAAATGCAGCGGTGGCGCACGGGGCTTCAGCCGCTGCCAGATATAGCTCGAGGCCGGTAGCATCCTCTGCATACGTCCCTACACTGCAAACCTTAGCCGTGCGGCGTACGGCTGTGTCAGAGGCGTGCACAGGGCTGCAGGAAGGGAGACAGTCTGTGTGGGATTGTGCAGGGTACGCAGGCTTCTGGCTCGTTTCACCTTCGGTCCAGAAGTCAGAAGCAAAGATAACAGAAGCGATGAATCACAGTCCATCGCTTGTGCGCGTTGTGTGCTTTCGCCTCCTCCATTCTGACACCCCCAAGGCTCTCGGCCCGATCAACACCTCCCGCTGAGTCCTGATGTCATGGCTTCGCTGCTGTGTAGGTTGTCGAGTACCGTACCTTCCGCAGTTGTGATCACCCGTAGCTCACATACCTTCTGCGGTGACACTTGTGCCAGCGCTCCTCTAGCTGAGTCCTGGTGTATGCAAGTGCAACGTAGAGCAAGGGTGGTTGTTCGCAGTCCGATCAATGCTGCACTGCGAATACTGGAGGAGGTTGGCAGCATGGGCAAGTTAACAGGTAGGGGACACGCCTTTCTTCCGATCGACGTCAACCACACATTTTGCCCGGGGCCAACCCCGAGTGCTCGCGAGGCCTCGGGGTGTATTTGGCCTGCTTTTACCTGGCCAACCGCCAGTGTTTGGGCGCGGCAGCACGCGGGAACAGTGGCAGGCACTTGAACAACAAAGAAAACCCAGAAAGAAGTGACTCATTGAAAGGAGTGCCGTGCCCACACCTGCCTCCTCTCTTTGACCATCGTCTGTCCGTTCCCAGGAGAAGCTGGAAACTCTCATCAGCATTAAGCCACCTCTAATCGAGTACTCCCAGCTCTCATGTTCTCTGTAGTCCCACACGACTGTGATATGCTGAAAGTCATTTCGAGACCAGCAAGCTCAAGTGCTTGGCCCCCAATCGTCGACCAGCGTCCTCTCATACCGCCGCTGCGCAACCACAGAGACTAGGAAGGTCATCCCACATGAACGAGCCATCTGCACCGGTACTGCAGCACCCATTTCCACATGTCTGGGCTCTGATGACGAAGTCAAGAAGTCTCGAGTGCCACAAGCGGCCATGTCCGACGATCGCTTGGTCGGGATCAAAAAGTCTGACAGGACTCGTCTTCCTTCTGCCGTGTTTGTCTTCCTTCCCTCCTTGTTGCCTGCACCCTTCTTCTGCTTGCGCATTTCACGAGCACACGTCGACCGCAGGGCGCGCAGGGCGCCTTTCTGACCTCCAAAACAGGGCATGGTACTGAGATGTCCGAGGTTCCACGGATAGGAGACGGCCATCTTCCGACGACTGGGCGGCCCCCACTGACGTCGCAAGACAGAGCTCCGAGTCACCGTTGTCGAAGGCCACATTAATGCCGATGGCGCAAGACACACTGCGGCAGGCGTGATTGACAACCAGGACGACTAAAATAACACTGATAGAGGTACTTACAGCATGCCGCTCCTGCCGCGGCGGACACGAGCGACTTGAAACGAGCACTCCGGCGCCGGCGTTCCTCGATACGTCCGAACAGTGTTTATGCTCCAAGACAGTTGCCCCGCTTTCCTCATGTTCCAGCTACTGTACATGTGACAGTTCCAGAGTTTCTTGCTCCTGTTTACCGAAGTGTGCATCTGGCTGCTCTTGCGTTGTTGGAACGAACGAGGACGGTTCCACGGGCTCCTACTCCGCCGCGTCCTGCGCTCGGCGACGCACTCGGCCAAGTGGCTCGACACACCTGTTGTGTGAATGCACCCTCCCACACACACCCTGCGTGTCACATATTTACAAACTCGGACCAGAAAGGAGTAGATACCGTGGGAGAACGTGAATCTGCGAAGAGCGTCCTCTAATGCTGGGTCTGATCCACCCGTAACATCCTCACGACGATGTGACTCAATTCCTTCGCACCACAAGGAGTCCACTTACGGAGCAGACTCGCTCTCCCAACAATAACCGCAACGTTGTACTGACAGCAAGTCCCCCATATCCACGCGACATAATCAGTCAGCCGTACCTCGAAGCAATGCAGGCCAAATGCACCAAATACCACAAAAAACCTAGCATACCAACGTCAATGATATGAAACAACTGAATTTGTACAACAATCTACAAAGCGCATACGTCTACTGCGCGTCACGCTCATTCGCGCGCGCCCGTCGCGGCAGTGGTGCTATGCGACGCGGCGGCCGCTCGTGCCCCGGCACCTCGACATGGGGGATGAGGCGCTCCGACCGTCCGACGCCCTCACCCGTCTCGCGGGCACCCAGGCTCGCCTCTCGTCCCGAAGCCGCCTCCGCGGATCGCTCGCTCCGCTCCGGACGCTGAGGCCGGCTACGCGCCATCGACGCCCCGGCGACCCAGAAGTCGTCCTCCTCGTCCCAGGCATCGATCGTCTCCTGCCAAGTGTCGGGGAACACGACGCCGTCGCGGCGTGTATCCCGGTCCCGGTCGCGGCGCGCGATGCGCAACGCCGCCGCGCGCTCGTCCTCCGTCGTGCGATAGCGGGCGTGTAGTTCGTCAAAGGTGCGGGAGCGCGTTGCGTCGCTGCGTGGGCGGTTCTGGTGGAACCGCTGCCGGCGGCGCAATGGCGGGACGTCGGCTGGACGGGTGCGCGCAGCGTTCGCCGACTCCCATTCCTGAAGCCACGCGCTCGCCGAAGTGTCTGGCGACACGGACCGCGCGCGAGGGCTAGCTCGGGTCAGCTCGCGCGGCGGCTCGTCCTCTGGCGTAGCGGAGCGCGTGTGCGACGTGTGCACCCAGTTCCAACCAGTGCGCCATGGGCTGTCTGGGCTCTCGAGGGGAAGTATCTCCAGATCCCGCACGCCCTCCTCCTGCGACGACTCTGCGTGGCGGTGGTACGGATACCGCCGAGTCGGGTGGTCATGCGAGTCGAGAATGCGCAGCAGATCACTCGAATACGGTCGCAGGTAGTCGGCGCTCGTGTGGTACGGCCGGAACCGCCTAGAGTGTCGCGCGGCGGGCGTCCCCTCGCGCCGCGACTGGCCACGGCTCTGCACGATGGTCTGTGAACCAGTTAGCCTACGGCATGTTGAACTGCCCGCCTGTTGACGGCACGTAGCAAGTCTCAGCGTCCACACACACCGTCGTCATTGATTGATCAGGGGTCTGATCGGCAGGCTCAATGTTCCGACGGCAGTGCGACAATGACCACATATGGGTATGCGGCACGTTCCGCTTGCGCCCCCACCAGACGCCGCATACCGCTTGCGATCTTACTCTGTCATCGCTGAGAAGGTTCAACTCACCGAAACGAACGACTCCCAAGCTTCCCGAACGGCCAGATCGGAGCAGTCCATATCCTTCATGAGCGACTTCAACCGCATGTCCTGCTCATTGAAGATGCCCTGCGTGCGCTGATTCGGGGGGAAGACCTTCAGGCTACGTATGTCAGCTCGGCCAAGAATCCCCCAGAGTGCAATACCTAGTCGCAAGGTTCTAGTGCAAGGCATAACGGGCGGAGATGGAAAAGATGGCTCGGACAATCGCGCGCATGTCGCAAAGTCGCTGGTGGTGCACAAACCACACTCACTGGAGCGTCCTCAACGCCTGGAAGGCTTGCCTGTCGAGCTCGGCGACCGTAGGCTGTCCCATATTACTCAGACTGTCACAGACGACGCGTGGTTCGATAAAAGCACTGCACGGGTGACTGAGATGGCGAGATCAGACGCGTGCGAAAGTGGCGAGCGCGGTTGCGTTCGGCAGCGTTGGGCCACTGGGGGGATGGGGGTGCAGAGTGGGCCGCTGTCAATCCAGCAGTGGGTCGTAACTTCGTTCTAAGGCGTGTTTCGTACGTGTTACAGTTGGATGCGGTTTAGGGCACGAGACGGGATGGAGGATGTGAAAGAGGCGACGGCAAAGAGAGAAGTCTGGTCTGGGGTACATGGTCTTCTCCGCGTCCCGGCGGTCATGAAACACGGGCCACGTGGCTACACGTAATAAGCAACCCTTGTATCACGCCGATCGCCAGTCGCAAGATGTCATGTCAAGATTCTGTCATTGTTTTGGCGTTGCTCATACACTCCAGCATGCCCAAGATCCGCACCCAGAGGACGAAACCTCCCCCAGAGGGGTACGAGGATATCCGGTGAGTGATCAATTATCATTTGACGGTCCAGATCTTGGTTCCATGGTCGCGCGAGAGCCTCTGTGTTCTAGTTCGAGCCATACGCTGCTGCACAGTTCATTCAGAACCGCAGTTTTCCGTCACGATGAAAACTTCCTGCTATCGAGGCCTAGGCTTAGCTGACATCAGTGATATTCTTGAGGACTACGATAAGAAAATGCGCGATGCCGAGAACGAGAGCCATGAGGGCAAGCGGAAAGTGGAGTCTCTCTGGTGAGTGAATCTTATGCTGACATGTGTATAGCGGTCAAGCTAACCTCAGGCCCATCATGCGTCTGTCTCACGCTCGGTCAAGGTACATCTACGACCTTTACTACAAGCGCGAGCTCATCAGCCGCGAGCTGTACGACTGGCTGCTGAAGCAGGGCTATGCCGATGCTAAGTGAGTTATCTCAATCTGAGGTGGGATGGCTCGAACTGACAGGGCAGCCTGATCGCGAAGTGGAAGAAGCCTGGATACGACCGCCTCTGCTGTGTTCGCTGCGTTCAAACGCGAGACATGAACTACCAGGGTTCCACGTGTATCTGTCGAGTACCGAAGCCGGATCTTAAGAAGGGTGTCGTTGTCGAGTGTGTGACCTGTGGTAAGTGCTTCTTTAGGCTGGCTGAGAGCTTTAGAGCGTTTGGATTCGAGGTTCACCTCTTCCCTGTCAAGTGCTGCTTGTGAAGAGCTGTGCGCTCGCGTAGAAGTTTGCCCAGACTACCGTTCTCGCTGGCCATGCTAATTCATTGTGGACTTCCAGCTGACACTTCTCAGGATGCCGTGGTTGTGCGACTGGAGACTAATAGATATGCATTGTAACCCATGTATGAAGTATTCCCAGAACACTGTGCTGGACGCCAGGCTGTAGTCTGGCCGGTTAGGAAGCCGAAACACGGGTGACTCACCGACCTCGACCTCGAGTCGGACGCCGGAGGTGTCAGCAGAATAAGCAATGATTCGTATGCGACCATTCATGCGGCCAATGTAGGCCTGCTCCATATGAACTTGAAGCCTAGTAGCAAGATGCACAGGCCGTCAGTCGCCACCAGACGTGGGCAGTGCATCGACTGGAAGGTGCGGCTCGCCGTTTGTCCGCGCCAGCGTCCGGCTGGGGCACCGATCGTTCCTGAGATACCTGACTTTCGTGGCCGTTTCGCTAATCTTGGCTTCGTCAATTCCTTGCTCCTCCGTTACGCAACACGTTTCCACCCACGCAAGCTCACCACTTCGGACTTCCGACGCTGCTCTAAGGGCGCTCCGCAGCTTGAATTGGTCTCGACAACTGTGACCGTGGTCTCGGTCCCCTCACCTCCCCTCATCTCCATCCTCGGCATTTCCACTCGCTCGAACCGCTTCACGCTATGCCATGACACGGCCATCGACTGCAGTGATAGCTGCATCCCCTGCTCCTGTTCCGCCAGGCTCTGCGATACCTACCCAACAGGAGAAGAGCGACCCATGCAAGAGCACCTCTCAGGCGGTCATCGCCTTTAACCAAGCAGTCGGTCCCACAGGAGCGACTTCTCCGGTTCAGCCGTCAACGAGTACAAGCGCTGGAGCGGCGTTCACGCGAAGTCTGCTGCTGTTTCTGGGTGAGTGGCCTGGAGGCTACAGTAGGGGCCACAGCTGACAATCAGGTTTCATGTTCCGTCGACCTGGTAAACTGTTTCGACCCAATCGACGTGAGTTGCACCAGCTGGCTCAACTGACTTGCAGTTGACACTTGGGCTGGGCTACGACGACTGGCTGAGAGTGCGGATCAGAATCTCTCGCCGTCGTTTGTTCGCAGCATTTTCCACGCCAAAGGAGGTGTAAGTATCTGAGGAGCTGAGCAAATGTGGATCTAAGCTTGGGGTAGAGCTGACCGACGCAGCCGATCATCCTCGCTGCCACCCTTCTGCCTCCTCTGCTAGTCAACACGACGCTCGGTTTCCTTCTGTTCTCTTCGCACTCCCTCATCTCGCTGTATCTGGCGAAGCTCCCGTTCTTCAACCGCCACCACCACGATCCCAGCGATTCGAAGGACGACCACCCGCTTGCCCGAGATCCGCTCGGAGAAATCGATGGTGATTTCGGACAACCAGACGCTACCCCGGAAGATGAGAAGGACGAGGAGATTTCTCTGGAGAACATTATCCGAGGTCCTCGCTCGATTCCCAAGCATCCGACATTGCTGAGTGCGATTGCCGGAGCTGGAGCGGGAATTATCCAGGGCCTCGCTTTCACTCCGATTGAGAACATTGTGCGATTCCTCTCCCAGTCAGCGAGCTCCATCACCGTTCAAGTCACAAACTTCCTGCACCTGCCGACACCAAAGTCAGCCCAGGCGCTGGGACCGCCGGCGAGTTCGCCTCTGGAGGCATTCAAGAACCTTATCAGTAACAGTAGCTGGCACAAAACGCCTTCCTGGTGGATGGGCTGGCGATGGGCTGTTGCCAGAGATGCGTGAGTGGTGTTTAGATTGCTTACAACTGACAACAAGGTTCTCATACTCCATCTTCTTTGCGACCTTCGACCTCACTCGTCGCCTCGGCCTAAGGGTGAAGGCTGTGACTACCGCGCACGTGCTCGAGAACATGGTTGAGGGGGACAAGCTGAGCCCCGAGGACACGGAGAAGCTTCGGAAGGTTGTGAAAGAAACGGAAGCGATCGAGGCTGAAGTCGCGAAGGAGAAGTCAAACAAGGCAGTCATTCCCACTGGCCAACCTGGGGTACAAGGTGGTGTGGCTCCGACAAACGAGCACAAACATTACCAGACACCATACGGCTCAGTCCCGAAGGTCCCGAAGACGCTGACGCCTCTTGAGCAAGTCGCGGCCGCTCGGCCCCCGTCCGAGACCCCCACGGCAGCTCGTGTCGCTCAAGCTGTCACCATTGTCATGGGAGGCGTTGCTGCAGCGTCTGCTGCTGAGCTAGCCGGACGCCCTTTCCGGAAAGCACGGCGTCTGGCAATGCGAGCCCAGTTTGAGCGGACGAACTTGCCTGCAGGTACCCCAGTTGACTTCAAGCTGAAGCACCCTGTCCTTGCATTCTACAAGTCAAACGGGCTGAAGGGATTCTTCAAGACCGACAAACCGCCGCAGCCCCCGGCCAAGGGCTTCTCGGGCATTGCTCTGCGAATTTGCTCCAGGATCGGGTGGAGGATAGCAGCAATGGGACCGTGGGGAGCGGGATTCCTCATTTTTGCATGGATCGGAGGGGAGGTGTAGTCAGGCGCACCACAGCATTAAGCATAGCATCCGGTATAGACGTTTAGAATGTCGGTAGATAGCATCTTGTAGCCATTGTGCATTGGGTTTTACTCAACGAACGTGTGGGCGGGAGGCGGGCAACGGGCTGCATGTGATCTGAACATTACACAATGACGTTGTAAATTTACCTCCGCGAGAATCTTCAATCTTCGCGCCAAAGACACCACTAAGTCGCCAGTCATCTTGCTCGATTTGGCCTGGACAAGGCGATTGATTTTTGGTCCTCTGGTCACAATCGTCGGAACAAGGTCTCCCCTCTTTCACGACACATTACTCCCACTCCACACCTCCATTGTCCCCTGGTCCTCGCCTTGTTC